GGGATAAATCTGTTTTGTCTTCCACCCAGACATCTGCTTCTAAGGCACTTACTAGTCTACCCCGTCTTCCCAATGGTTGCCATCTGACTTGGGGGGGAAAGGGCCTGTTCCTTTAGCAAAGGCTTTATGTGTAGAACTTGGCAGTTATGCTTTTTATGTCATGAACATAACCTCACCTCGTAAACAACTATCCCATTAAACCTCAAAGATATAGGGCATTTTTATGTGGGGCAGTAGGCAATCCTAATTTCTTGCCCCTTTCCTGTAGTAATCCCATCTTGGGCTCTCAGTCCTCATTCACTTGCCCATGTCTTTTCTGCTCTGCTGCCAACCTTTATAGTGTCTCCCCCCCCCCCCCATGCATCACATTTACTGAGCACCACTGCCTCTTCCCACCAATGAATCATTAAATCCCATGAGGCCTCTGTGAGTGAAGGCTGAAAGTGAACTGTCCCTCCCTTCAAAAGCTGTCAACATTCTAGTACAGACATTTTCACCCTCAGCCTGCCAAGCTATCATGAACATTCCATGACCTCACTAAGGCACTGGAACTGAGGCCTTGCAAGTGATGGCTTTTGACTGTATATAGGGAAAGAACAAGAAAATAGTGAAACATAGAAAAATTTATTGATATTAAAGGTGAATTTTAGTAGCAGAATGCCAAATTAAGAGGACACATTAGCATGAGATATACCAATTAGATGAGACATTTCAGTCTCATGTCTGTAATAAATATGCAATAAAATATATACTATCTTTTATTGTACATATCCTATATTTTATTGCATATTTATTACAGACATGTAATAAATATGCAGTAAAATATAGGATATATACTTTCTTTAAAAAATTAAATTGAATAGTACAACATATGGGGTGTAACCATTTGGAAAGATGATAATGAACAGAGCATAAGGTTAAAAACAAAATACATCAGTGCTATTAAAATATTAATTAAAAATTACTTTTAGCTTCAAGGTCCCTTCCAGAGGGCTTGGGTATAAAAGGCACTATTGCTAGTATACATTAGCTCATAATGTTACAATGGGAGCCATCTGTGCAATTTCTTCTTAAACCTGTGCTGCTTATAGGAGATCCAGTGCAAGCCTCTCATCTAGAGTGCAGGTTGAGTAGCTAGAACACTTCATGTATTCTGCCAAGTGGCTACACTCACAGGAGATATAACATCAGTTTGGTTCCTTTCTCCAAAGTATTAGAAAGTATAAAAAGATGAAAAGGCATAGAAGGCATTCCCAAACACAATTTTGAGACAGTAAAAATGTCTTAGCTGCATAATCGCAAGAGGGAATAAGAAAATCATAGCACAATCTTTAAAAAAGAAAATGATTGCTGAACAAAACTTGATTAAACAGACTTCAGACTATGGGCACAATCCAGCCTGTGCTGTGGGCCCTTTCAGGGGGGTGCATTCATCTATCCACACATGGAGGCTTATGCAGGGGTGTATGGGGAGCGGGATGCTGCCACCGAAGCAGAATGCCTGGAGGGAGGATGAAAGGATTTGGTGTGATACGAGATACTTTTCCATCTATTGGTATTAATCTGTGACATCAATCATCTGCATTTATTAAACCTTATTTGCTTCTATATAAGCTATACATAAAATGTTTTATATTGTTGCATTCCGAAAAGTGCACATTAAAAGCCTATAGTCCAGTGTGCAACTCAGTAAATCTCAAATACAGTATTGGGTAAAAAGCTGATTCAGTGTCAAAAACTTCAAAAAGGATGATGTCGTCGCCAGTCTCGACTAATTCTAGTCCGCATTGAATTAGGCTGGGGATTTGTGGATATATTATCCTCTCATCGACTAATAGAAGAAGAAGAAGAAGAAGAAGAGATTGGATTTATACCCCACCCTTTACTTGGGGTCTCAGAGCAGCTTACAAACTCCTTTCCCTTCCCCTCCCCACAACAGACACCCTGTGAGGTTGGTGGGGCTGAGAGAGCTGTCCTTGAGAGAACAGCTCTGACAGAACTATGGCTTGCCCAAGGTCATCCAGCAGCTGCAAGTGGAGAAGTGGAAAATCAAGCCAGGTACTCCCAGATTTGAGTCCACACACTTAACCACTGCACCAACACATGGGAAATTCATGTCATGGGGAAGTATCCAGATCCTTTTGCCACATTCTTCTAAACAAAAGGTGTCCACATGACTCTAAGGGGGGGGGGAACAAACCCTGCAATTCTGCAGATGGAATGTAAAACCTACATTATGCATCTCTTTATTCTGCACTCATGAGTGGAAGAGACTGAAGGCACTTCTGGTGTCATATGAAAACACTCTACCATCAATTTTATAAAAGGGATGTTCAAGTCCACTAACGCGCAGTGGTATCCTGAGCAGAGTTACACCCTTCTAAGGGAGCTCTGGCTCTCCAAAGTTTATGCCCTTGTTGGTCTTTAAGGTGCTGCTGGACTCGGATCTTGCTCTACCCTTCTAAGTCTGTTTCAGACGATGGCAACCAGGGTTAGGATGGCGCTAATTGCCTACCCATGTGTCGGACTGTTTCCCTTCAGTGCAAGTGCCTTTGTTGATTGTTAACAACAGAAGATAAGGGAGACAACATTTTCCCCCAAGCAAAAGCCTTTGTAGAAACTTAATACGCAAATGCACCACTAATAAATGTGCTGGCGAAAAAAAAGCCACTGCTTTTGTCAACATTCCTGTATTAAGCATCAGTTTTCCAAGCTGGGAGCCTGTGGGTGGGTGTGAGCGTGTGCACATGCATGTGTGTGGAAGGATAAACATAGTGGAATTTCCCTCCAGCAGCACAAGACTGCTGAGCTCTGGGGGTAGAAAAGCTTTCTGCTCACCTAGCCTTAAACCTCAGTAGTCTAGCTCTGTAATACAATGCAGGGAGATACACTTTTCCTTCCCTTTCAATACAATGTATGGCAAAGGGTTTTTTTCAGGTTGGGGGGGGGGCGATGTGTGAATCAAGGTCTGCAAGATACCTTTAGCTCCTAGAGGCTTATGCAAGGGACGCTCGCCTCCCTCCGTTTTAAACTGATGCTCAGCCACCATCAACATTCTCCTAGACAGCAATGAGCACGCTCAGTCCTAATCAGCACATTTCTTTGAGGGCGAGGTGCTTCTTCATACAAATATGTTTCAATATACCTGAGAAGACCTCAGAATATGCAGAAACCTTTGGGGAACCCTATTTCACTGCTCTAACGGTAGGTGCTTGGCCAACATTTCCTATGGGAGGATTCAAAGTGTTTCGTGTTTTATTTTAAAAAATCCATACAATAACCTTGTAAGCTAAGCCAGTCTCATTCTCTCCATTTTGCTGAGTGACCTGCTTGCAAGACCACCTGCAGAAGTCATGACTCAAGTGAGATATCAGTGACTTCCCAGTTCACAACCACTGCCCTACAGCAGCAAAGTATCATAACTGCACAATGAGAAAATGAGCTATCAGCCGCTGTCTTCACAAAACAGCAGTTAATAACCACAAGCCAATTGGCATTCATATTTAAGGGAATAACATTCAGTTAAGCTAAAAACAGCTTACTCATACAAAATATCTTTCTGCATATGCTGATACATTTGGATTAGTCACTATCTCAGCTTTTGCCTTTCTAAGAAGTTCACATTGTCATGATGATTGTGTAGGAAAATAAATATTAAAATACAAGAAATGGGCCACTATAAGACTTAAGGGCTTTTAAAAAAAGATAGTAGGATAATCCAGGAGGCTCAGGCCAGCCCAATCTCATCCGATCTCAGAAGCTATGCGGGGTCAGCCTTTGTTAGTACTCGGATCGGAAACCACCAAAGAAGTCCAGGCTGTGACGATGGCAAAAAAAAAAGGGGATAACTGTGCCCTACAGTGTTCCTCAGCACTTTCCCTCAGTGCCTTCACTGTGGCACGTCCTATCCTGATTTACACTGCTTGAAACTCCTTCTGTGACCTGTTTCCTCACATAGAAAGATGAGTTCAGTTGCCAGAGTTATGAGCCAATTTATATGGAGAAGACAGGAAGTGAAGAGAAACTAAGCAACACTTCCTTATGCGAACATTTTGAGGTAACTTCAACTTCAGTCCTCGCTTTCTTTTCAACAGAAAGAGATTAATTTGACAGAAGCTTACAGGCAAAAAGCTTACAGATAATTAGGGGCTCTTGCCTGGCCTGGCCCAAGTCAGAACATGTGATTGTCCAAACTTGTGGTTTTTAAAATTTCTTCTTTCAGGGGACCCTTTCTAGATGATCTCACTTGCCTCTGGGCTCCTGATTATTGCCCCGGATTCCAAGGCATAGTCTAGAACTCTACTCTCTGTTAGTGTGGGTTGGTGGTTATATCTGCCAGGACTTGCTGTAGCACTCCTTGGATTGAGAGTGTGCCTTACATCACACCTAACACTCTCCTGACTCTAGGTTGCAGGAGAAAATCAGTAGTGGCCGGCATGTTTATCCTTCATTGTTAAATTTTATTAATGAAGCACTGATAAGCTTCAGACAAAGCTTGGGCTTCCCCAAGAATTGCAGTTGAAAATCATTGGGCTAAAAAGTTGGCACTCAAAACTTGGAAGTGAATTTTGGAACTCACTGCCAGCATGACTGGTGAGATGCTGAAAGTTGTGCATTGTTCTGGTATTTCCTGGTCTTGCTATATGGTATCAATGAGTCAGGATATAACTCCTAATTTTTTTTTTTTTTAATCCAACAGTTCTGTCTTCATTTTAAAGGAAATGAAGGGCATAGTGGAGTTACGGCAGAAGCTCCTCATTTAATTTGCTGCTTCACCACTAGTTGGTGAAAGCAACAAGTTAAAACCATCAAGGAAGATACATGTCTTGATGAACAGCTGTATACTTATGACATCCTCCCCTTCGAAAGTGGCTAAGTGACCAATTAGAATATGGTTTGGACACTTATAATTTAGATCCCTGCTTTCATATATACAGTTAAAAAAATCTTCCTATGGCTTTGCCCTGCAAATAAAAGTCCATCTAAGAACTTCAGGGGGGGTGGGGTGGTCAGGCCAGAATCAGGCCCGGGGGAAAATGCCCACATATAAAAATCGAAAAATTAAAAGAAGCCAAAGCATAATAGCATATATATCAATTGACAGAACTCATCATTAGACAAAGGCTTTCCAAGATAAAAGAAGAATTAATTATTTTTTTCCAAGGACATGTAGTATTCTGTCAACACTTTCCAGGCTTTAGGTGCCATGAAGCCGTCGGGGGGATTTTCACCTTCACGAGCCAGCTTCCTCATGCGTGTGCCAGAAATGAAGTCGAATTCATTGTGCCTAGTAAAGAAATGGTAGGGAGCCATACAGTTAGTCCAACGACATTTACACAAAAGCCTGAAATTGATGGATTATACAACTAATCTATCATTCAAACAATTTCTGCAACTAGGTACACTTCTCGTTGTATAGGGTGACATCTGATAACATTCAGTGTGCTGATAACATTCAGAGCCAATGAGGTGCAGCAGTTAGAGTGCTGGACTAGAATCGGCGAGCCCCAGGTTCAAAGCTTGCTGGGTGACCTTGAGCCAGTCACACACTGGGAGACCCAGGTTCGAATACCGACTCTACTGTGGCAGCTCACTGGTTGACTTTGGGCTAGCTACACATCCTCAGCCTAACCTACTTCACTCTCCAAGATATAAGGCAGATGGACTCACATTCTAGCTGTATCTAAGACAGATGGACTCACATTCTAGCTGTATCTGAAGAAGTGAAACTGCTCACTTCCTCAGATACAGGTAGAATGTGAGTCCATCTGCCTTATATCTTGGAGAGTGATTTCAGATGCCAAATGATAATAGCAGGGATTGGTAATGAGAGAAGAAACCTAGGTCTCAATTCAATCCAGGAGGATGTATTGACTTGAGCTTCATTATCAGTTGCAATTCAGCAGTCTCTCTTTTAAATCTCCCTTTGAAATTCATTTGTAGGAGAACTGCTACTCTTAGGTCAGCAACTGAATGTCCTGGAAGGTTAAAATGTTTCCCCACTTGGTTTTTGAATGTTGTAGTTTCTGATAGCAGTAGAATGACTAAGAGTCCAGTAGCACCTCTAAAGACTAACAAAATTGTGGTAAGGTATGTGCTTTTGTGAGTCACTGCTCACTTCTTCAGACTTATTTCCATTTATTCTTTGCATCTTCCTGGACTGAATCCTCCTATACTAGGTTTCCTGTCTCATTACCAGTGCTGATATCTCCACACCTACTGCCCCTCCGCATATCACACCTAATCCAATCACGGCTGCTATTGCCATTCAGCATCTTAAATCATATTTATGAAGTTTATATCTCCCATACCTCGTGTTACATTTTATGGCACACATGGCCTTGCCCGACAAAGTGACGTTTATGTCCGATCTGGCCCTCATAACAAATGAGTTCGACACCCCTGTTCTAGCACATACACACGTACAAAAAAACCCTTACCTGTCTGGATCATAGAATACCATTGCCTTTTGTAGTTTGTTGTATGCAGCTACTCGGAAGGGAATTATTTCCACTGAGGTGAGTCCTGGAGCCATGCTGAGCACCTTTCCGCCTTGTGTAGGTTCATATAGATCTTTCTTGGTTTCAGGGTGGGGCATCCCTGCTGGATCTCGCCCCACAATGTAGAAATTGGCTCCAGCAATCATTCGAGCCCTGCAGTGCCATTGGACCTGAGAAAGTGCCATACAGTTAGAATGCTGTTGACAAGGAGCCTCAGCACACCATTAAGAGAGATTTTTTAGAGAACGTTTTATACAGATGCAACCTAGGTCTCCAGTAAAAATGTGTCACTGGTGCTACGTTATGGCTCTGGATACACAAAAGACATAACTGAGGGGAGAGCTATGACAATAGCAGTAACTATTTCCAGAGCTACAGCTTTTCATTAACACCACACAAGCACGCTTTTTAGTACGGCATTGTTTGTTTTGTTTTAATATAATGAAGTACTTATTATTACAATTCTCAGAAGGACAGAGAGTCCGTGTGAAAGAAACAGCTGGTGAGTTCTCACATTCCTTCCACTAATTTCCCAGTCCTGGAAAAATGCATTTTGTCCTTCACATAACCAATGTTTCTTGATCATGCTGTTATTACTGGCTGGTGAGGAGAATTTTATGACTCTCCCATTTCCAAGGACTGCTGAGCAGGAGCAGGGACTGGTGAGCATTCTTCCGCACTCCTTGGCAGGAAGTTACAGATCCCCGGTTTCTTACCTGACTGCGTGTCCACTATGGTAAATGACTTTTTAGACTGTTATCTGTAGTCTCCCACGGTGCCTTAGCAGAGATTCAATCTCTGACTCAAATTACAGTTAAGGAGAACTAGGAGCTTGAAGCCAAAAAAAGCCCTGGCAGGTAGGTTCAGATCCACTTGTGACATTATGCTCCTGCCCTCTGGTACGGCTTGGCCCTTGACAACTCCTTAGAGTTCCTAGGTCACGATTACAAAGTGACAACAGAAGCCCCAAACAGCAGAATTCTGCTGCCAGTAGACCTGCATAGCTGTGACCCACCGAGTCAAGCGCAGCCCATCAAACCGTGTATGGTGCCCACCAAAGGGCTCCATAAAGTTTCTGTTCTTGCTAACTGCCTGGGCTTCAAGAACAAATGCCTTCTCAAGGCCACAGTATATGTCTAGCAAGTTCTAACAAATGGTAGGATAAAAATAGCCAAAACAAATGTCTAATAAATAAATAACTTGTGCAGGTCTAAGTCAGACTGTTGTCAGGCCCTCAGACCCAAGTGTACCTTGGAAACAGCTGAAGGCTGGAGACAGGCTGGCCTAAGGCTCAGCAGGACAGAGGAAGATCTGAGTAGCCACCTTCAGCAAAATTGCCCAGACAGAGGAGTCAACTGATTTCAGACTCCACAGGAGTCTATGGGGTGGGGACTGCCCTTTTAGGACAGAAGGACTGTGGGTTGTGATGTATATTTCTCTGCTGGAATTGCCCGCAGTTCCCTCCCCTATCCAGCAGTTCCAGTAGCTCTGTGAGCTGCTGCCCAATTTGCAGAGCTCCCCATTTGACCCCCATAGCAGCTGCTACCTCTGCAGCTGATGATGCCGTGTCCCTTCCAAAGTCCTTGGTCTGCCCAGTTTCTTCCTGTTAACAGTGCATAGTGTGGATCCTTCCTTCTCTTCTACTCCATGTCTCCACTACTCACAGTTTCTTCTTTCTCCCCTGTTTCTCAGGCCACTGCCTACTATGTCTCACCCTCGCTATCTCATCTCTCGACCAGCATCCATGCCACTCCTCCGCCCCACACACAGCTCTCCCCATCTTGAGTGCTGCAAGTTCTCTCTCCAATGAGCAACTTTTTGCCTCAGTTCCTTGTCTGCCCTGCCCTCTTCTGCAAGTCTTGTTCTCCGTCTGCCTATTTTTCAGGTTTCATATTCCCAGATCATTGCCTACTCTATGCCCTTCCTATAGTGCGCTCCCGTTCCTTAGTTTCCCCGTACCTCCTGGAGCTTCTTCCCGATCTTCAGCCCATTGATATGCAAGTCAAACTGACAGCTCACTCACAAAAAGCAGACTGTCTTCTGAGCCACTGAACATTCCCAGCCATTATAGCAGTTCAGCAAAGTGGCGTCAGAGGAAGCACCCCTGCCTCGAGTGCAATCCCTTTAAAGGTCTTTGAATCTCAGGCTGAGATTCTGAGACTCACAACTGGTTCACTTATCCTGGAACACCTGGCAGGTCACTGTTGAGGACAAAGGTCTTATATCTGCATGGCCAACTTGTACCTTTGCACCAGCTTTATCTACCCCAGTTTTCCCAAAAGGATCCTGGGAACAGAGGGTTGGTGAGAATGCTGGAAACACTGTCAGCGTGATGCAGTACTCCTAAGAAACTACGAGTTCCCAGGGCTTGCTGGGGGATTTAAGTTCATGCCCAAAAAGGCTAGATGTTCCCACAATAAGACTGAGCAAGGCAATTCCTATTATAATTATAATTTATTATTTGCATAGCACTCAAAATAAGCTGAGTGCTTCACAGAAGTTTTTTTAAAAAAGACAAATCTCTGTCCAGCTTCTAAATCTTGACAACAGATGCAAAAGGGGATCAACACAGTGAAAGTGGCTGCAATCTTAAACACACTTGGCTAGAGAGCAAGTCCCACTGGAATCAATGGAATTTACTTCTAGGTATATATAGGAGCTGCGGTGGCTCAAGTGGTTAAGATGCTGAACTGCAGGTTGTGGCAGTTCAAGACCCGAGTGTGCCGCATGATGGAGTGAGCTCCCATCTCTAGTTCCAGCTCTTGCCAACCTAGCAGTTCAAAAGCAAGAAATTGCAAGTAGATAAATAGGTACCACTTCGGTGGGAAGGTAACAGCGTTCCGTGCGCTTTGGTGTTCAGTCATGCCAGCCACATGACCATGGAAATGTCTTCAGACAGTGCTGGCTCTTCGGCTTTGAAACGGAGATGAGCACCACAACCCTAGAGTCGGATTTCACTGGCTTTCAAGCAAGGGAACCTTTACCTTTATATCAGTTCAGCAAAGCATCCCTGCCACAAGGGCTTCGGATTTCACGGCAGATCAGAAGACGCCAAATATATTTGTTGTTGTTCAGTCGCACAGGTGAGTCCGACTCTTTGCGACCCCATGGACCAGATCACGCCAGGCCTCCCTGTCTTCCGCCGTCCTCTGAAGTTGGCTCAATTTCATGGTCGTTGCATCGATGACACTGTCTAACCATCTCATCCTTTGCCGTCCCCGTCTTCTTTGACCTTCAATCTTTCCCAGCATCAGGGTCTTCTCCAGTGAGTGCTCCCTTCTCATTTGGTGGCCAAAGTATTTGAGCTTCAGTTTCACTATCTGGCCTTCCAGGGAACAGTCAGGGTTGATTACTTTTAGGATTGACTGATTTGATCTTCTTGCAGTCCAAGGGACTCTCAAGAGTCTTCTCCAGCACCATAGTTCAAAAGAATCTATTCTTCGGCGCTCGGCCTTCCTTATAGTCCAACTCTCGCAGCCATACATGACTACTGGGAATACCATTGCTTTGACCATGCGGACTTTTGTTGGCAGGGTGATGTCTCTACTTTTTATCATGCTGTTTAGGTTCGCCATCGCTTTCCTCCCAAGGAGCAGGCGTCTTTTAATTTCATGGCTGCTGTCACAGTCTGCGGTGATCTGGGATCCCAGGAACGTGAAGTCTGTCACTACTTCCAGGACTTCCCCTTCTATTTGCCAAGGAGTGATGGGGCCGGATGCCATGATCTTATATATACAACATGGCAAATGTATGGAAGATTTCTTTTAAACTCTTTTTTAAAACGTGAAATTAAAACAGAATATTAAGGGAGGAGAACCAAGAGAAAACACTCAGAATATTTGAACAGAAGAAGGGTAAGGCAGTCGGAGGCAGAGAGTGCCAGTCACATGGAAACTCACAAGAGGGCAGCATAATGCAAAGTATTCACTTGCTCTTATGGTTACTACCCAGGAAATGCCCTACCTCTGTTGGTCCAGCATACAACATAGGAGAAGGGAAGATTGCTACAACAGTTGACTTTGGATCTAGGACATGCTCCTCCAGAACTGCAGCATGCTGCTTCATGCGCCACTCGAGTGGCACATCATCATCCTTGGTCCAGCCACCGAGGGGATGCAGAAGCAGCACAGGATGCTTGTAACCCCTTTCAAGCAGGCGCCGCTTGGTATCCTGCATTAGCAGAGCATGCCCGTTGTGGACTGGATTACGCAGCTGGAAAGCAAACACTGCATCTGAAACAGAAGGAGAGTCAAATGCAGAAACCCGAGCATCCAGAGCGTGGAAAAACTGACTTGGAACACTGCACACCAAAGAGGAAACACGGCACATCGTCTGCATGAAATACAACATCTTTTATTCTTTGCCATCACAAACATTTGTGTCTCAGGACATAAAAAGATGCACAAATCATGGCAATTGTCAAGCAATTACAAGCAATGTCATTTGGACTTGCGTATCGTTTGTTCCTGGGAGGTCTTTCACACTGGTAGTTGCTTTTAACATGCACACTTTGTGTTTGTGTGCGTGTGTATGTGTGAAGAAACAATTATTTACTTAAGGCATGATCTATCCAAAGTTAAGTACTATTTGGTTCCACTGGTATCAGTAGAAGAGAGTCAATATCTTTTTATTGTTTTACAAGCGTTATACCTCACATTGTTGTCAATAGCAACATCTTAATTGTATACAAAAAGTAATAAGCCATAAGACCTGGAGGAGAGTAGAAGAGCTGTTCACCACCTAACTGGTGGTGGGCTGTAGTGGGCCATAAGTCCAGCAGGTCCATTTTACACCTTTTCCTCAGCAGCTGTAAAGTTGGACTTAGGAAGGGTTCCTTGGCCAATTGTCTTCAGAGTATAAGAGCCACCACAGAGGAGGCCCTGCTTCTTTCTCAACAAGTAATACAGGTATTTAGCATTACAGACAATCTTCTGTATCACAAATGTGAATACTCACCAGCATTCATTTCCTTAAACTTCTGTCTCAGCTCCAAGGGTGTCAAGCGGTATTGGTCCAACCCATCATTCCACTTGATTCTCTCTAGCACCAACAGATCTCCGCCAGCCAACCAATCTCCACTTTCCATAACCATCTATTGAAAGGCATCACCATTAATCAGGTCAAGATGATATTTAAATCTAAGAAAAACTTTGCAGCCTTCTAGCTAAAGTAAATCTCAAAAATGGTGTCATAGAGCTGGTATAGACAAGGGCAGCCAGAATGATTTGGAGGCTGGAACACCTTTTCTACATGGCAAATTTGAAGAGCCTGGTGTTTTGTAGCTTAGTAAAAAAGATGACTATGATGGGATTTAATGAAAGTTTATACAGCTATGCATGGCGTTGACAAAGTGGACTAAGAAAATCTGTTCCCTCTTCCACAATTCTAGAATTGTAGGTAGCAGATTTGGAAGAGGCAAAAGAAGGCACCGTGGTAGTATGCACAAGTAGCTTGTGGAATTCTACACCACATTCTGAAATGTGGTTAAACCTGATGGCTGAAATGAAGGACAGAGCAGGGATTAGAAAGATTCAGGGAGGATAAATCTATCACTGGCTACTAGCCATGGTGACTGAGGGGAACCTCCACCTTCAGAGGCACTAAGCTGCTGAATCCCAGAGCCAGGAGGCAACATCAGGGGAAGGCCTCAGCCTCTATGCCGTGTTGCTGGCTGTCTGGAGGAACTGGTTGGCCACGGTGAGAGACAGGATGTTGGATTAGATGGACCACTAATCTGATCCAGCAGGGCTCTTATGTTCATACTGGCTACTAGAGCTACGATGGCTAAATGGAAACTCCATGTTCAGAGGCATCGATCACTGAATACCAGTTGCATGTGGGCAATAACAGGGGAGCTTTGTCCTCTGTGCCCCACTTGTGGGCCTTCAGAGCCATCTGTTTGGCCACTGTAGGAAGCAGGATTGCCCATTGGTCTGATATAGCAGAACTCTTCTTATGTTCTTAAGAGGAAGCAAAAACCTCAACAGAGAGGTTCTGTGGATGCCATCTTTAAAATGGTCAAGCTGTAACCAGGATGGCCAAATGGTGACGGTGGCCACAGTTCCATATACTGTTCTTAAGCAGGGATTTCAAGAAAAAGACCAAGCCATAAAATTACTATTTTCCCATATTTCAGCCACATACTGAGGACAAGTAGACTTGGAAGAGCTGGCACCCAGAAGGAGGTGATGGTCGCAACGTGAACAGAGAGATCTGAGGAAGGCCTTATACATACAGGGAACTTAGGGATCATTGATAAGGGAGGAATGGCGCAGCACATTGACCAGAGACTAAAGATAAAGAAGAAATCAAATTGGCTACTCCAAACGTTCACAAAAAATGTTTTACACATAGGGAACTTAAGGATCATGGATAAGGGAGGAATGGCACAGCACATGGACCAGGGACTAAAGATAAAGAAGAAATCCAAACGTTCACAAAAAATGTTTTACACAGGACAGGAGGGGGAGTCTATTACTGTACCTCTTGAGAAAGGCTGTTTAACAGACTGGGGACACTACCAATGAAGACCTGCTCCTTGTTGCAGCCGACCTTACATTCTATATGGCAGAACAGCAGAGCCGATCGCCTCAGCAGGTGGGCACATGGGTTCATATCACTACTGCAAAAATAAAAGAGCACGTGCTGTTCTCACTTACTTTTACATGTGGATGTTTGGCACAAGTGGTCCCCCAGATGCGCGCGCAGCGTTCTTCCTTCCTGTGCTCAAAAAACTCAGGGTTTTTTAGAATTGCCACCCTCCGCCCATTGTACTCCAGTGTAAAGGCACTGCAGCCTTCCAGATGCTTCTTATCTTCAGAAGATACTGGAAGCACGATGGGAATGCTCAAGTTAATAACGCCATCTGTTAAAAGAACAATGTCATATTTTCAAATTAGGGTCATCTGAAAATACCGTGAAACTGGAAGGTACCAATCACCTGGCAGTTTGTATAGCTGTAGGTTTCTATGGAAACAGTTTCTGGAGATAATTAGACAGAGGTTCTTTGGCAGTGCTTCAGAAACTCAGCTGAGCTGAGGAACAACTGAGTTTCTAGAAGAGTTGTTTGAACTTTGAAATATTTGAACTTTGAAATAACAAGCCATGTTAGTACGGCTAACAGGCTCTTTTGCAAATGCATTTACTACCCAAATTACAGAGTCAGCTATAGTTGTGCGTATGCTAGATCATATCATAAGGCTGGTTTTGCACATTTGATGTGCACTAATGCTTAACCATGACCTATACTGCACATACATACAAATGCTGTGTTGACATCTTTATGGCATCAACAGTGGTAGTGCTAGTGGAACAGCTATTACTGAGTTATACCATCCTCATATAAAAGGTTTATTATGTACCTTTCTCCTTCATCAGATCTGAAGTTTTCAAGATTACAGGATGCAGAATGTTACTAGCCCTGCAGTCTGTTTGCTTCTGGTTTTCCCAGCAATATTTATGTGACACTTGCTTCTTTAGCCAATTACCTGGATGCTTCAGGTGCATTAAGGAATCTACTCACACCTTTCCCCTAGCCTTGGCCTCTCCCTCTAGTAGCAGCCCAACATGCTTAAACTAAATAGGCGAGCCTTTTCCTTCCACTCCACCAGCATAAGCTTCACCTGCTTACAGTTTGTACATCAAACAGTTATTGAAAGGACAAGAGGAGAGCTGGTAAAAAGAACTGCAACTTTAACTACTACTGGCAAAGAAAAACATACGGTAAAAATAAAATTACCAGAACTGTAATAGCCAATACAGTCTAATAGCAACTCTACGAATCATATGAAAGATGATTCTTTGGTGGAAACTTGGTCAGTGTCAGGACATCTTTCCCCTAGCCTTGGCTAGGTAGCTTGCCGGTAGCTCACAAAGTAGAATTTTTGCTCACAAGACTCCACAGCTTAGAGGGAGCATCACCACCCCCTCTCACAATTCCACAGGTGCCTACAGGCTCAAAACAGTCAGAGATTCTGGGCATAAAGCGTGAAAGGGAGATTGGGTTCCACAAACACTGAGGGTGAACTTATGTCAGAGAGAGAGAAAGAGAGCCTGTTACAGCTTCCTAATGTTTATCCACAGCACATGCATGAGTGTTTGGAGATGTTCACACATGTTTTCTGCGCAAATGCTGACATGCCTGCCCGAAGCAACTTCATGCCTTTCCATCGCCGTATTGCTTAACTGCTCTTCTTCCATGCCTGCTTGGGGGGGGGGGGGCTCCTGCCTCCTGAAAATGGCAACCCCAACATTAACCAAGTTGATGATAAATTATGTTGTACTTCAAGAACTTCAAATGTGAAACTTTCCAAAGTTCTCAGATATTTTTGTTTTAATGTTAGATTTTTAAGGGGCGCTTGAAAGTGAATCTTGTTGAGTAACATTAACGTAACTTAACAGTGCAGGCCAATGCAGAGTTACTCACGTCTAATCCCATTAATCATATATCTTACATCTGTTTTCTGAAACTCTGGCAGTATCCCAAAGCGAATGCTGAAATGAAAATTCAGAAGTTGATGATAAATTATGTTGTACTTCAAGAACTTCAAATGTGAAAGTTTCCAAAGTTCTCAGATATATTTTTTTAACGTTAGATTTTTAAGGGGCGCTTGACAGTGAATCTTGTTGAGTAACATTGACACGTAACTTAACAGTGCAGGCCAATGCAGAGTTACTCGCGTCTAATCCCATTAATCATACATCTGTTTTCTGAAACTCTGGCAGTATCCCAAAGCGAATGCTGAAATGAAAATTCAGCGAGGTGGGTAAATTTGAATCTTTGCATGGAAATGGAAATCTCAAAAACTTGCAGAAGGTTTTTGTTTGTTCAGTTTCAAATTAATTTGACAGCAAATCTGAAATCTTGCCAGCTGAGAAAGATGGTCTGGGGGTTTTCTGTCCTGTGGGTCTTGATACCAAATTTCTCAAAGGAAGGAAGCAATGGAAGTCCCTGTAAGGAGATTAAAGCACAGCACAGCCACATGATTCCAGGGCAATTTGTACCAAAGCACCTGCTGCGGCACTATCAGTGTTGATCTTGTGGGATTGCTGGCTTTAGCCCAGGTGTTTTTTGTATTGTTTGATCTTGCCGTCAAGGACATAGGTGTCAAAGTCTTCCGGAAAAGCACTGGAGCCGCATACGGGGACGAGGCCGGCCTGATGAAACCCCTAGCCAAGTTCTTATCGATGAACTTTCGGAGCTCATCCTTCTCAGTCAGGACCCGCAGCTAAACAATGAAGTACACGCTTCCAGGAAGGTTTTACTTTTATTGAAAAGCCATAGATGCAATAACAAGAACAGTGTTAGGAATGGCGGGATACCTGTGCGCATAATAGGATCTGTCCCTCTGCCCTTATCTTGTCTACTTTCAGCTAAAGGTCTTTCAGTGGTAGTGGGTGGTGGAAATCAGAGCCACCATATGGCATGGGTAGCGCTACCCTCTGTCAGAAGAAACAATGGCCTGTCCATTTAATAGAGGCTTAATGGGAAGTTATTTACCTGATTATGTTATCTCCATGCCGTGAAAAGATTCCACTGCCCATTTCCACATATTAAGTCTCTCTTAAAGGAACAGGGTATTTTTCTCCTGGCCTCTTGGCAGCCCTAGACTTGGATGCCATCAGTTGAACAGGAAGCAAGGGATTGTGGTTCATAAGGATCCTCAGGAGAATCTGGTAGTCTACGGCTATAGCACAGGGTCAGAACTGTATTCTCACCTCCCCCTCTCGCTGTCAGTTGTCTACTCCCCCGGTCAGCAGACAAGAGGAAAACCCACACAAAAGCTCAGGGGGGTTGTATATAGACTGTAGCGTACTCTGTGATGGGATCATTTCATATTTTGAACTTGACATATCACATTTGCTAAAAAGGCTAAAGAGAAAAAAGCCTATTCCCCATGGAAAACCTTTTGAACTATATGCATTTTCAAGCAATGAACTTCAGTACCTGGTCTACTGTCTCAAACTGCTTGGTCTGTGTAATTGAAGAATTTACCTTCATCAGTGAATATATAATTTAAAATATTGTAAAATACTTGTTTTCCAGTGCAATCAAACTGAACTTACCCAACTTGGTTTGCTGCAGGGTTTTCTCTCACTATTTTTTTATTTGCAAATATAATAAACTATGTTTGACCATTTCAATTCATAATATATAATCAATGATCAAATTAGTGATAAGTACGGCAGCTTCGTTTAACCATTGAATGCAGTTGATTTTCATTATGATTTGTGAGTCAATTTTAATGGTCTATGATTATTTCTACTATTCTGTACTGTCCCTGAAATTGTCCACTAGATTATTTCGTCATTATGGTGTCTTCCACATGGGGATAGGATTTTGTGGCTTCCCTGTTACTGGTGTGGCTGCAGATAAAGCGCAGCGGCAACGAGGTTTCCACATGGCAGGTTTCCCCACACTTTCCCTGCCCCAGACCCTTGGAAGTGGCCACTCACCGTCCCCTGGGCCACCAGGGCTTTTGCAATATTTTTAAAAATTGACACTAGAATATGGTTATATTGATCTACTATTGTACCAATAGGTTTTGGAGTATCTATGAATTCCCAACTTTCTTTTTTTATATAAAGTAAATCTCTATCCTCTTCCCTTGCCTTTTCTTTATATCTCTGCAAGGGACGGAGCTAAAGACAGATTTTTTAAAAAAATGAAAGGTGGGAATTCAGAAAACCTGCCACACCTATCAGTATAATGGTATATTGATATAACAATATTCTATTGCCATTTTTTTAAACATTAAAAGCCCCCCAATGGTGGGGAGAGGAAATGGCTGCCACCTGGGACAGAAAATCCAGATTTTCCCACTCAAACAACAGCAATCCAGGCTTTACTACAATTTTCCCCAAAGCTTAAGAATAAAACAGGTTTAAGAAAGATCGGAGAAAAGCCAGGGAAACCCCAGAAGAAGTAGGAATGCACCATGCTGCTGTGGGAAACGGGGGAAATCTCCCCCGAAGCATTGAACAAAGGGCAGATAACCCATGTGGAAGACACTTATGTAGATTCTGCTGTCCTTATTTTAAATTTTATATTTATATTCACTAAAATCCTATAGGATGTATTGTCCATGAAATGCCTGTTTCAGATTTAATCCATGCATAATCAGCAACTTTTAAAAGTGGCATATTCATATTGCGATTCAACCAGATAAATTTTTTCTTTATTGAGCACTTTTGTTTGAGTCACTCTGATCCAAAGCTCTTGGAAATACATATTTTTTTAAACTGCAAAATCCATAGTGTCTTTATCAGCAAATATTCAGTGGTCAAATTTAAGACAATTTTATTTCGGACAAATAATTTACCAACGTCTGGTCCCATTTTTATGCATAATTAATATCAGCCATATATGGTGGCCCATAAGGGCTCGATAAATTTGTTTCTGCTACCTTGCCTGGGACTCCAAAAACGGGAAAGACAGAGGCTGTTAAGCGCATGGCAGGCCATAACACATAGTAGGGCTGCATTTGGTTCAGTGGTTGACAAGTTGTTCAGACCTAATATACACAGTGGAATCACACTTATAACAGAAGACTGTAACTTTATCATGATATCCAACATAGTCTGGATTGAAACCTGCTATACAAAAAAAAGTCCCCTGTCTTCCGGCCAATTTAAAAATTATAGTGAGATCTGAAGTAAAAAATTTAAACTGGTTGAACCATGAATATACTCATACTGATTCAATTCTGCATTGGAATTTAATTTCCATTGCATATGTTTTCTAACTTTTAGTGCATTTTTTATTTTATAATAGTAATTACTTTCATACCATTGTGGAAAACAACTGAATACATACCAAGCTTGGATATATCAATTCTACCCTTTCCTGGCAAAATATAAACACAATTATCAAGCATATTTTAACTGCCACCCTCCCTCAAATAACCGCTATAATATCAATTTGATGACCAGTCTTAAAATGACCCTTCTTCCAAGATGCTTATGTTAGGGTACATGTGATCCAGCCTCTCAGGAGAGATCTGCAGCTGATGTAGATACAGAAATGCATTTGGTGCACAGCCTCACCTGTCTAATAACATTCATCTGGGACCCAATGGAACTGCCTAGATTTGTTTTGTGAGTTGTTTAGGGATTGACATCCCCATCCAAGGATATTAGTTGTATCACAAGACTAGTTGCAAGGCTCTGGCTGGCTCAGAGTTAGGGACTTTTCTCATTTTCTCCTCTTTTAAGATGCTATCCTCTTTTAAGATCCTCTTTTAAGCTGTTTCAGGGGCCAGGGCTTATTTGAAGTACCATGGCTTCTGCTTAGTGAGCAGAAAGTCCCAGGTTTACTCCCCAGCATCTCCAGTTTAAAGGATTAGGTAGAAGTTGATGTGAAAAACCTCTGCCTAAGACCTTGGTATGCCACTGAGATGCTGAGTAAACATACTGACCTTGATGGACCAGCGGTTTCATCCATGATAAGGCAGCTTCCTGTGTTCATCATGTGTGTGCAATCTACAAAACTCAGTAGTGACTAAGTCCCTATACAAGTAACTGAATTAGAGTTAGGCCTCGAACATACATCCAGAGGAATGAAGTGTCAGAGAACTGACTCAGTAGAATGGGCTGCAGCACTTCAGACTACATGTGGAGGATCATGGAAGATCGCATTTTGGAATGTCCCCTAGTATTAAAAACTCCCTGGAAACAGAAAACCAACACACAGTGTTAATTTTCTCTTTGCATGGAGGTTTTTATGCAAAGACTCAAAGATGGAATCTGCACCTTCAACCTCAAGCAGCACAATCCATTCTAACACCTGAAAGCTTCATTACCTTGTTCATTCTGATGCCATAGGAAAGGGGAATCACCTATCCTACTTTCATCTGCAGTAAAAAGGTTTTAGAGGACATACTGTCTGAAACCACCACTACCACCCCCAGCTGCAAGACCCGCTTGACCAGAGATGACAATGGTACATAAGAAATATGTACAAACCCTACAGGAAGCGAAGCCTCCCACAAACCACTTTCAGCTCTACTATCTGTTCCCAACCTATTTTATGTTCCACTCAAGGTGAGTGGTTTTGTTTTCTTAAAAACAAATGCCCCTAAAATATTGATATATCTATATAGTGTTATAATGACAGTTTAAACATTTTTTTGGAATTCCAAGCTTCCATTAAAAAAAAAAAAAGTAAGTCTTTAGCTTCTTCCATCACAACAATAGAAGGGAAAAGGTCTGTCTCTGAAAGGGAAGGAGGTAGAGACTTACTTTTTCTCTAAAAGAAACCCCAGAATTCAGAGAACCTGCTTAAACGACAATTACAGCACTATATAGATGTATCATTATTTTAGGGCCCTTTTAAAAAAGGGTGCTGTGACACCACTGATGACGACAGCGCCCTCCCTTGAAAATCCTGATTATTTAAACCACGTGTGGAATAAAGTAAACTGACTCCACAACTGTGAAAATGCACAGGGAGGGCAGACGTGTGGAAGAATTGTGCCCAAACTAATTCCATTGTTTACAGATGGACTGCCAAGAAAATCAGGAATAAGTTGAGCATGTGGAAAAGGCCACTGACTGGTGTTTCTCAATAGTTCTCTGGCAACAGCATCTAGTGTAGCATTGGAAGCTGATTCTCAAAATTACTCTTCAAGGGTAGTTTACCTGGCAGTGTGGGGCTACTCACAAAAAGGGGGGCTAAGAAGCCTCACTGTGCACATTGAGTTTCATACTGAAGGTAAGTATCGCTTGTTTGGTTGTGGGTGCATAACATCTAACACAAATGTCTTTATTGTGATGAGTGGCACCTTTAAGACGAATGAAGTTTTAGTCAAGGTATGAGCTTTCGGGTGCATGCACACTTCCTCAGATACACTAGGCTCAACTCTGTTGGTCTTAAAGGTGCCACTGGACTCAAACCTCGTTCTGCTGCTTCAGACCAACATGGCTGCCCACCTGGATCTATCTTCATTGTAACCAGTATGTTTTCCTTATTTGTTATCTACATTAACATCATAGTGTTCATGTTTGGGTTTTTTAGCATAAGGAGCTACACCACCTTTAGCTCAATATGGCAGTGTTCTAAGCTGACTCCTATAACTGAAGTTCCCCAAATGCTCATGTAACACTCATAAGTCCTAAAGACAAATGCATAGGAACTAGCAAATCATACCATCTAGCAAGGTGCCAAAATGCAGAACTTGCAAGTATTCCTTCTCACGCATAAACCCTTTCAAGGGGGTGGCCCAGCCTTCACTCAGGACTTGAACCCACTGCAGATCCAGCTGAAAAGGTAAAACAAGGCACTTTAAAACAGGGATAAGGACTCCCTTCCTGTAGCATTGTGCAAAAAAAGCCTGATCAGCATTTTGTAATTAAGTACAAGAGGTCATCCACATTTCCTAGGACTAAAATATACCTCTCTCTAGATAATGGGAAACTGCACGTTGCTTTAATAAAAGAATATGGACATAATGCACTTTAAACTGAAAACAAGCCATAAACAATCATTTGCTAGAAAATGCCTAGTATTATGGGCAGGATGTTCATGGAAGGAAGGAAGCCCATGTACTGTGAGACCTCCTAGGACTGTGGTGTGCCCTCAGCCTCTACAGATTTTCCCAAGAAGCCTCCTCTCAATTCTGTGTACAGGGCCAATAGAGGCAGAGCATGTTGATGAATCCTAAAACTTGTAGATGGGAGAAAGGCCAGCATGCTTGCTCACAAGTAGGGAATAGTGCCAGTCCACTTACTCCTGCTACTCCTTTATTTGCCCTGGGTACATAGACATATCATGTGTGTGGGGTAACAGTGTCAGTGGTGGTAGACAGTCAGCCTGTATTCACATAGTATCACCCAAAGTTCTGTTTCTTGGCCAATTTAGAGTGTGACAGAATGCTAGGAAGTTGAGGTGGTGCATTGGGAGCTGGCTTTTACATATAGCAATGGCACACTCATCAGTATCTATACCTCTATTCAGTGTCAGAATTAAGAAATACAAAGGAAAAACAGTGAGCCTGCAGGAATCCCACAGAACATTTTTATAAGGGAAAAAAACAAGACCACTTGCATTCATACTCTGAGGCTAATAATGGTATCCAAATCCAGGTTTACCTTTACTTCTAGCTCAAGTCAGTATCACTGTAGGAACTGAGAGGCGCAGGCATGCAATATCTGGACTGTCATTTCCAAGGGCAGAACTGTGTAATAATAAGTGGCTGCATCTGCAAATGTTAGCCAGTAGACGGCAGCATGTGTAATCAGAAACATTCAAAGTAGAAGAGCATGGAGAGTAACTGGCCAGAGAGAAGAAATTTTCAGGGAGTAACTTTTTTTTTTGCTGTCAGGTTGCAGCCAACTTATGACGACTCTGTAAGGTTTTCAAGGCCAAAGACATTCATCAATGGTTTGCCATTGCCTGCCTCTGCATAGAGACCCCTGCCTTCCTCAGGGGTCACCCATCCAAATACTGACCAGTGCCGACCCTGCTTAAGCTTCCAAGATCTGACAAGATCAAGCTAGCTTGGGCTATCCAGGTCAGGGCCAGGGTGTAAGAGGTATTACTGGAGCTTCCCAGCATATTTTTTTAAAGCTGAATCAAAGCAGGATGTGGCTTCCCACACAGGGAAGTTTTAATACTCCCGCCATCAATTTCTCCTATCAAAAATACTGTGCCACTATTACTCCGCCCTTCCCATTTCCGGGGTTAACTGAACAGGCAAGGCAGTTCTGATAGACAAAATCAGGAGGGGTGGAAAGCTTAAACCCTGCTCCACCACAGCATGCACTCTCAATCTGAACTGCACTCTCTCAGTGCAATTAGGATCAACCCTCCTCTCACAGTAGAACTGTACATCTCAGATTTCTACTGGATAACACTGGCAAATGCAGTCAACTTAGTGTTACAGTACTGTGTCCTTAGAAATGGAACTTAGGCTACTGAAAGCCCTTCAGAAACCTGAGCTTGGTTTGTGCCTAGATGGGACACCTCCCAGGAAACCCAGTGTATACAAGTTGTTTGCAACTGTATTGGTCCCAAAGTAAGATTATAAGAGCCAATAACAGAATCCATGTAACAGCTTTATTAGGACCAACCCAATAACACATAAGTATGCAAACTTTTAAGTTCCCTAGAACTCTTCATCAGGCCAGATATTACAAAGTAAAGGTGTGTGTGTGAGATCAGAGTTTTCCAGTCATCATGGTCATGCCAGGTTATAGGGGAATTTCTGGCAGGGAAGGCGATTCAGGCTGATGCTGGCCAGGGGCCATAACAGCAAGAAGCAATAAAACAATTAAACAGTTCCCTCCAACGTTCCCTTATCTGCTTTAACCATTGAGAGTTCAGTCCCTTTTCAGAAGAGAGAATATAAATTGCTTGGAAGGAATTTTATTCTAAGGAGATAGATTAGCAATATTTCAAGGTAAAAAGATTTATGTATGTATATGTATGCCATCTTGAATTCCAAGGAAGGGAGGCGGGTTATAAATGCAGTAAACAACCAAACAAACAGGCTTCTGCCATTATTATCTAAGAAGAAACCAGTTTTCTGGGCCTTTAGCATAGCCAAAGCACCAATATCCAATGATGGCATCAAGGCAGAAGGTAAATATGGACAAACATGACCCAATCAGAAAATAAGTGTAAAGACAACAGTCATGACAGTCAGACCCACAAATCAAGCAGTCACCAAGACTTGCAAAGAAAAAGCTTCCTATGTATTACAATCTAAAGCACTACAACATCATTAATAAATCATAAGAAAATCCTTGTGCATAGGTACATAATCAACGTCGTCTCCGGATTATATAACAACGTTTCAAAATTGGATCTTCCTCAGGAGATATTAGAGTAGTACAAAAGCTCTCTGTTTCATAAAGTGCTTGACAACAAGAAATCATAAGGAATACTACACTCAGATAGGACATTGATCTCAGTAAATGTTCAGGCTCAAATATGCTGCTAAGCTTCTAATGGATCCCAGTACTACTCTAATATCTCCTGAGGAAGATCCAATTTTGAAACGTTGTTATATAATCCGTAGACGACGTTGATTATGTACCTATGCACAAGGATTTTCTTATGATTTATTAATGATGTTGTAGTGCTTTAGATTGTAATACATAGGCCCTGGTCACACCGGGGGAAAAGGCACGGCTAAAGTGCGGCTTTTTTGAGCCTCATCAAAAGAGAAGCACGACAGCGGGATCAGACAGATCCCCCCAGCCGCCGCACAGGTCCTCCTTGGCATGATCAGATGCCGGGAGGAAGCCACGGACCGGAGAGCGAGGCAAGCCCGCTGTATATGTTTGTGAGATCGGCCGGCGATCAGACGGCCGTCCCTGCAGCGGATTTTCTGGTAAGTACTAGTGTTTTCTAGGGGTTTTTTTAATCCGCATCTTCAGCCGGAAGAGACAGATCGGGGACGGGTGCGCGCCGCTTCCCAGATGTTGTGGTGTGATCGTGCCCACTTGATGCGCCCCCAATCTGTATCTCTTGCGGATCAAAGCCTCCCGTGTGACCGGGGCCATAGGAAGTTTTTTCTTTGCAAGTCTTGGTGACTGCTTGATTTGTGGGTCAGACTCTCATGACTGTTATCAAGGCAGAAGGGACATGGCAGAGTTCACTAATGAAAAGAGAGCCTAATTACACACTGATGATTACGTACAGGGCAGAAGTATACATTACCATCTAAAATATAAGTATTCTTCTGTGTTATATTCCAATCTTGCACAGTGGCCTCTAGCCCACTAAATCACAAGACACAGTGAGAGTGATCATCTCTGAGTTGCCACCAGACTCTTTTATTTTATTTTATTTATTTATTTATTTATTTATTCATTATTCACATTTCTATCCCGCCCTCCCCGGAGGCTCAGGGCGGCTTACAAGGCATATTTGCCAGATAAAACAATAACAATACAAAATATTAAGTTACATCCTCATTAAAACAATTTTGGTGCTCCTCTCAGCTACTTTCCAAATTCCAAGTTACAGTTTCTAAAATCAAGATGGCCGCCCCCTAAACGTCCTGTTCTCACCCATAGTGCAGCAATTTTGGGCATAGATGTACGTGCCCCCATCCCGATGTCTATATACGGGGTGTAGATGGTAAACTAGTGCGGTGGTAATGCACTAGTGGTGGCGGCTCCTATTCAAAAGCCTGGCGGAAGAGCTCTGTCTTGCAGGCCCTGCGGAACTATGCTAGGTCCCGCAGGGCCCTGATCTCCTCTGGGAGCTAATTCCACCAGATAGGAGCCGCCACCGAAAACGCCCTATTCCTGGTCATGGTCAATCTAATAGAACGGGGACCTGGAACATCCAGCAGATGTTGGTGCCCTGACCGTAGTGCCCTTGGGGGAACATGTGGGGCAAGGCGGTCCCTTAGGTAGGCTGGTCCCTGACCATATAGGGCTTTAAAGGTAATGACCTCATTTTTTTGTTGAATATTATAAGCACTTTCTCATCTGTTTACTGCATTTACGAGCTGCCTCTCTGTCAGGTTCTCATGGTGATGAATGAGTACACATTTAAAACCCAGCTGGAATCACTTTAAAATGCAATACAACCAGAGAAACAGCGGTAGAATTAGTTGTTACTACAAGCCAAAACTAGTTAAAAGAAGCCAGTAAAACCTCTGCTTGGAAAACTTTCATAAGAAAATCAGAAGAGTCATCAAAGTGGCAGTGGTATCCCTTGATTCTTTATTAGAATAGGAGTGTGTCAAGCAAGAATGTCAGACAGGAGGTTTCGTCTTTGGTAAGACCGTTGAAACTAGATGTACACCCACTGTGATCGGTATGGTAGGATGATATCAGTCTTATTTGAATCAAGGCTTGTTTTAAATCTGTCTAGTTGCATTTTCTATTTTGATACAAGTTTATGAATATGGGCATCAAAGAAATCTATTAGGATTTATACAAGGTTTTCTCAGGTATTGCATATTTTTGTTTTTGTATAGTTTTTTTTATAGAGCTGCGGTGGCTCAAGTGGTTAAGATGCTGAACTGCAGGCTGTGGAAGGTCAGTAGTTCAGCAGTTCGAGACCCGAGTTGCCGCATGACGGAGTGAGCTCCTGTCTCTAGTTCCAGCTCCTGCCAACCTAGCAGTTTGAAATCAAGAAATTGCAAGTAGATAAATAGGTACAACTTCGGTGGGAAGGTAACAGCATTTCGTGTGCCTTGGTGTTTAGTCATGCCGGCCACATGACCACGGAAATGTCTTCGGACAGCGCTGGCTCTTCGGCTTTGAAATGGAGATGAGTACTGCAACCCTAGAGTTGGACACGACTGGCTTTCGAGCAAGGGAACCTTTACCTTTACTATAGTGCCTCATCTTCTTTTTGGTATTTATATGCAGTTTCTAGTCTCAAATGAACATTATTCCATGTACTTTTTTGCAAAAGAAAAGAAAAAAAATACAACTTCTCAAAGATAGCCGAAGATATTTTGGCGTCTGAGGCAGAAACTGCAAATGTCACTCTGCCCATAATAGTAAAAACATAATAATAACATCACTGACCACATGCTACCCATCAACTATACCCTCAGACCTGCCACTAGAGGCTATTTTGTTTATTAAAATATTTATAGCCCACCTTTCCTTTGCAGCTCAACACAGCCCTTACAAGTGGGTCATTGTATGTTTGATATGGTTAATCTCACTCAACCAAGAAAATGCAGTTTAATCCCCTCACAAATGAAATGGCCTTACACAGCCTCCATTTTTTTTAAAAGATGGCGCCTTCTACACTGAGAGCCCACTTCAAAGGCAGGAGCCCCTACAGGGAAGGGGCTCTAGTGAACGTCAAGCAGATTAAGGCTGTTCCACAGAGTGAATGCTGTTCTTAAGCATAACCTGCTCTATACTGTGATGTTACTATGTATGGGTGTGAAAGCTGGACAAGGAAGAAAGCGGATTCATTTGAAATGTGGTGTGGACAAGATTTTTACAGACACCATGGACTGCCAAAAAGACAAATGAGTGTGTTCTAGATCAAATCAAGCATGTATTTTAGCTCCCGAGAAGCTAAAATGACCACACTGAGGCTATTGTAATTTGGACACATTATGAGAAGACAAGAGTCAGGCTTCCAGTTTGATCTCTGTGAATGGCGGTCACTTCTTCGGGAGCTCCCGAAGGTGACTTGCCCACGCATGGTAAAGAGAGGGAATCCGCCCAAGCGGAGACCCTGAGGAGCCTCAGGGAGAGGCTCCGATCCAAGGCGCACAGGGGTTGTGCCTCTTTACCGGCCGGATGGTCGGAAATTGAGGCGCACCCCATGCCCCAATGGCTCTTGCCGTGGCAGTGCCCCGCATGGGGACTAGCAGAGGCACCGGGTGTCACTGAGTGATGAAGCGAAGAAGTTAAAGCATGAAGAAAGTCTAACCGTGAGTTGGAGATTGAATTTAAAGTTAATGGCATATAAGCACTCCGTCCCCCGGGAAAGTGAAAGGGAGGAGGGAGGATTCCCCCCCCCCACTGAAGAAAGAGACTTGTTGAACGCAGAAAGGAGGGGCGAAGTGGAGTTTGAAAAAAAATTGTTACCTTTTGGGAGTGTC